GGAGAAATCAGTGTACACAGAGTCAACTTGCAAACCCTTAGACAGAGCGTCAGACAGAAAATCAACGTAGGTAATTAGACCCAGTTCAGCTGACTTTTTGGATGTAAATCCGAATTGTTCGGTCCCTATAATTGGGGAGCAGTCATCAGTAAGATAATCAAAAATGATGCTCTCAAAATTTCGCTAAGAATAGAAATTGGACGATAATTACACATGTCGAATTTTCGACCTGATTTATATATTGGGGTGACATATGAGGTTTTCCAATAGTCCGGGAATTTGCCAGATGATAGGGAATTATTAAATATATAGAAAAGTGGTCGAGCTAAAATAAAGCTAAATGATTTAAGAAAAGTTGGAGGAATTCCATCAGGACCGGGGCCTTTGTTGATATTAAGTTCGGACATTTTTTCGTAAATTTTAGAGATTTCAATATGATAATTGGACACATTAACCATGGATGTAATATTGGTATCATAAGGATGTAAAGAGTGACTTGTATAAACGGAAGAAAATTGATTAGCAAAAAGGTTGGCAATATCGATCCCATTGGTAGCAGTACAGAAGTCATTGTATTAGGTATAGTGTTATTTTTCCTTTTGCTGCTTACAAATTTCCAAAAAGATTTACCATTATCAATTATGGAATGTACAGTGCGTTGGATGTAATCTGTATAACATTGTCTGGATAAGGATTTACATCTTGATCTTAAATTGCTAAATGATGCGTAGCTTTATATCATATTAGACAATAAAAGTCTGAACTAATGAAATTAAAATAATGTATTAATTATTCTAAGTGCACTTCCATGTATAGAATGTACAAAGTCAATTCGAATGGAATAAAAACTAAATAATCACCGAACGTCGGCAGTTTCTTTGTATGGCATGGGTGGCGTGTTAAATGGTATTAAATAGTGGATTCATATGGTATTAAATAGTGAATTTATCATACCCGGTAGATTAGTCTTTAATTTAGCTGTTCGGATTGACTTCGTATAGACTATAATGCATCCTAAATTAATTGCTTCAGACTCAAATTAGAAAAGTTACAAAAAATAACACAATTCAATTATCATCTGACAGTACTGAACTCACCTGGATACACAAAAGAGAAATCGCCAGAAAGTCGGGAGTCAGTTCTCTAAGTTGGCTGAAAGCGACATCCTCGGAATTACCATAATCCACGTAAAAGACTGTACATTTCTCATCATCAAAGCTGACGACCCTACCCCTATACCAATTGTCATCTTCACTATGGACGGCATAGAGTAGCCCTTCTTCAGGTATAATAGGAGATTCTAGAATCTGTTCATTGTAAGTCTCGTAGAGTTGATCAAGGAGATATGTAATAATTTCAGAGTATTCTGAAGGCTGGATAAAAACGCTGCTTTCATCAGCATGAGGAACATATCCTGTAATGGTAGATCGCAGAACGAGCATTGGACAAGGGCATTCCACCGTATCAATAGCTCCTTCATCTGGGTTGAGTATAACGTGTTTGTTGCCTTCTGTGTCGTACAGGGTAACTTCTAACCTGTGGGGAAATAAATACATTTTTTGTCGATCTATAGAATGAAGGCAATGATCAATTTCGTCATAGATCTCTCGAACACTACCTGTTCCAGAGATCTGAGAAAAATTACAGTCCAGTGAAATCCCAGAAAAACCAAAATACATTCATCAATTCAAATTGTTGACTGAATTTGCATGTGTCCAAAGAAAAAATGAAATAGATATTAAAAAACAGAAAACTTACCTATCATCTATAACATTATCGACATAAACAATCACAGTCTGTTCTAGAAGACCTCTCAAAACATCTTCAAAAATTTCCGTAGCCGTTTCCAGATTATGCATGTAACAGCTAACTGCGACTCCACACTCTAAAGCTATTATTATATCACCGGGGTTATTGACACTTTTCATTACAGCTCTGAACTCTTGTCCCAGCAACAAGGGAATTTCAATATCTGGAATGACTGATTGTGTGGAAACTGCTAGACCATCTTTGATTAGAAGTTGAGCAATGTCTTGAGATTCATAGAAAATATTTACATAAGTCCTAAAAACATCAAACTAATACAAACTCTGAAAAATGTATTGCATCTCTGAAAATTATTACAATAATATTTACAAAAATATAGGATACTCTTTCTTACTTCTAAGTCAGAAGAAAATCCCAAGTTAGCTGAATTTCGTATAGAAAAAAAGGATTTAAATCGACTACCTCTTGTCTAATGCAATACTGTGATATTGGATTATTTTGGCCCACAAATGTTCATGAAGAGTTCCAAATATTCATCCAAAAAAGTTGTTGACTAGCAACATGAGCGGACTGTATTTCCTCTGATATGAATTTGAATGTTTTCCTTTTGCGTGAATTTGGAAAAGCTAAATGAAGATTTTACTGGAAATCAAGACCATCACTTTTTACTGCAGATTGTGACAGTCAAATATAGAAAGGATTTTTAACCAGGGATTTTAATGAAAAAAAAAAAAAACAGGGATTAGAAGATATAAATTAATTTCGATATTTTTTTTACCAAACATGAACTTTTATAAATGCTGATAATCTTGAACTCTCTTTCACTAAAACGATCAAATTTGAAATGGAGTGGAGTGATACTATGAGGATCTTCACTCCGAGTCATATTTTCATTTGCCTCATACAGGGTCTTCCAAAAAATGTAGATACTTTGTGTATTACGTTTTGTTTCAAATAATTGTTGATTGATTTTTCTTATACTATAGTCAAATAATGTTAGTCATTTATGATGCACCGTTTGGAACCTTTGGTATAGTAATGAATAATACTGGAGTTTCTTCCCAACACCAAATCGTTATTTTTAACACCTCAACACGTGTTTTGATCACCAAGTGATCATCTTCAAAGAGGAAGATTAAAACACAATCAAGTTTTAATTTTCCTCTTTGAAGATGATCACTTGGTGATCGAAACATGTGTCAAGATGTTAAAAATAACGATTTGGAGTTGGGCAAAACTCCAGTAATATTCAATGTTAGTCATGTATGACTAAAAAAATTAGTTTCATTCAACTATATAACATTACATAAATTAGATTCTAGGTATTGCCTTTTCTAGACATTAACTGGTGCATTAACTCTATTTCAATGTCTGAATTATTTGATGGACTTACTTTTCCTCATCTTTATTGATAAATTCGCAAGTGAAACTCTCCTTCTCGAAATATTTACTATAGGTATCAGGATCGGACCAGCTACCACTACAAGGAACTATACCATTCAAACTACAGACGATAGCTTGCGCTGGCAGATTCATAAATTTCTTGTCAATTGGCCAAATTTTATTGACAGTCGAAACATTTCCAAAGTCTACGTAGTACACCTTGTAACGATTGCCATTTTTTTCCAACAGCTGTGCTCTATAAAGAACATTGTCCTCAGGGAAAAGGCCTATTACAGGAGCTCCAACAACTGATTTTTCTGGTTTCCGGTTCTTGTAAAACTCCTGAATGTCTTCCATCAAAGACTTGAACTCAGCCTGTAACATAAAAAGACCTCAGTAAGGCATTCGACTGTGTTGATCACGAAAATCTTTACATAAAACTCCATAATAGTGGCATACAAGGAAATGCACTTAACTGGCTGAAAACATTTGTCTCAACACGAAAGCAATGTGTCAGTATCATCAATGATAATAATAATGTGTGAAAGTTATATACATACAATTATGTGGATATTAATGTTGGTGTCCCACAGGGATCAGTGTTGGGCCCTATATTTTTCTTATTATATGTGAATAATATGGAATCCATTTCGACATATGCTCATTTTACACTATATGCAGATGACACATCAGTGGTTATATCAGATCAAAGATAGATCAAAATCTACAAACCAAAGGTAACTTAATCCTGCAAAAATTAAACACCTGGTTCAAGGAAAATTCCCTACATTTGAATAATCAAAAAACACGTTTGATAAGATTTCATGCTAGACAAAAAGAAATAGCCAGTTTCAACTTAAGAATTGAAGATGATGAAATTTCTCCGTGCACTACGGTGAAATTTTTAGGTGTACACTTGGATGAATTTCTCAGCTGGAAAACTCATTGTGAAACAGTTATATCATAATTGAACTCCATGAATTATCTTCTGAGAAACCTTCGTGATATTTTAGATCAGAAACAGCTGATTATGCTGTATCATGCTCAAGTTGAATCGCGTCTTCGGTATGGTATTACTTTCTGGGGAGCTTCTTCTTCATGCAAAGATGTTTTTGTCGGCCAGAAAAAGATTATAAGATGTATAGCAGGAGTATCAAGAAATACAAGCTGTAAAAGCATTTTTTTAAATTTTGAAATACTAACATTGCCATGCCTATATACAGTGTGACCCATTTTTAATAGAAACACCCCTCTAAAATTTGAAGTTGTAAACCGATTTTAATATTTTTTTTTTAATGTCAAGTACTAAAAGGTCTACCTTGGGACAAAATTTGAAATGTTTATTAAAGTTTCAGGGCATACTACGATATTTTTTCTTAGTCGAAAATCGGGATTTTTTATTCGCGATTTTTTTATTGGAAAAATCACTACGCCACTGGATTCAGAGTGCCTCTAAATAGGTGTGACCAAAATTTCATGAAAAAATATTCATTATTAACAAAGTTATGACACCTCAAAAATTCGAAAACTCACACAGCTAACAGTCACAA